AAGGTGCCCCTGCTCGAAGAACCTCCACTCATAATCTTCATCTGACCCGGGTATCTTCGAACGCCCTGCCAAGCTGCACTAAAGACACTGGCCTTCACGCAGGGCCTCCAGCGTCGCCTCGCATTTCTCTTTGAGCTCGCACTCGGTCTTTTTGCCTGTGTCCGCAGCTTGCTTCCAAGAGGATACTGCCCCCGACGTCTCGGTCGCCTCCAAGGCCAGCCGCAGGGGCCGACTTGGTAGCGCCAACACCATCACCTGCTGAGCCCGAGCCTGTACATTCGCCTTGCTTCTTGTCAGAATCCTTCTTCGCATCTTTGCCAGCTGCCGCTCCCCCAAGGCCACCACCTTTGCACGCTGCTGCCTTGCCAAGGTAATGGCCAGATCATTGAGTTGCGACGCAAAAGCAATGCTGAACTGGGAATCGAACTTCGCCTTGCGCCGACCGAGTTCCTCTTTGCTCGACGTCCTCGAACAACCGCCAAACGATAGGTCTGGCTCTGTTCTTGTCCAGGAACTCACGGACGTCCAACTTCCCAACCTCCGGATGTGCACCTCCACCTGGGGCCAAGTCCTTGCCACAGCTTCCTGTTGTACCGCTGCCTCTGCAAGATCCTCAGCTCCCGCACGATACTTCTCCATGGCAGCCTCCATATCTTGCTGATGCGAGCCACCGTACCATATACCCTCCAGAGCCTTCTGAATCTGCCCGACCTTCTTGAGTGCTTGCGTTCGGCGCTGAGGGACCGGTTTGGGTACTTCAGCAGGTGAAGGAGGAACAATGGCGCCACCAAGGCCTTTGCATGCTCAGCACCAGGACCACCTTTGGACGAACATTCAAAGAGAAGTTCCAGTCCATCACTCTTGCCATTGAGACCGCCGTAAGCAGTTGACCCGTACACCTTCCACTTACAACTGGAACCATCACAATTGGATCCACAATTGGGTCTCCAATTGAAGGCACACCACCCAAACTGACATGTCCAATCGCTGTGCTCGAGCAGATCCTTGTGGCAGAACTTCCACAAGCCTTGCACCACGTAGCAGGACGTCCTGGTTTCGGCTGAGCAGGTGGTAGGGCATGCTGTGGCTGAATGCGCGCTGGGAGACGAACGGCAGGCCACGTAAGTACATCACGTCGCCCCGCTCCCAGTGCTGGCCATTGTCCGTAATCATTGGATGACTGCTATAGATCCTGCTGATGCCATGGGGCCGATGACCGCCAGAGAGGCCACATCGCCGCGCCCAGTTGCTGGTTTCCTCTTTCCCGTGGACCACCAGAAAAACGAAAGAAGAGCTTGAAAAGACTGGATCGCTTGCTACGGACCAGCAGCTTCCTTTCACTGCCTCGGGGCTGGATAGCCCTCAAGTCAATCATGTTCGGCCTCAGCGGCTACCGAGGTAGAAACGAGGAGGAGAATGAGGAGAGGGAGGAGGAGGAGGAGGAGGAGGAGGAGGAGGAGGAGGAGGAGGCGGAGGCGCAGGAGGGGGAGGAGAAGGAGGGGGAGGAGGGGTGGAAGAGGTGGAGGAGGCCCGTTCTGGCCCCCTGCAAGCCGCCCGCGCCGCGCGCGAGGAGAGCGCGACGAAGAGCACGGCGGGCGCCCGCGCCCGGCTGCCCGCCTGCGTCATCTGGACGTGCAGCTCCGGCGGGTCGCCTTGGGGCCGCATGGAGAGGGTCGAGAAGGCTCGAGCAGTCCGAGGAGGCTCGAGGAAGCTGGAGGAGGCTCGAGGAGGCTCGAGGAGGCTCGCGGGGTTCGTGGAAGAAGTTCGAGGAGGTTCGAAGAGGCGCTTCGCTACTGGAGGCCCCTCTCGGGCCCAAGGGCCGTCAGAAATCAATCTGAGTTGTGCTCGAAAACTTGTTGTTTGCTATCTTCGACTCCAAAGTCCCTTCTGGGTCCTGAGGCCGAAAGGAATCAATCTGAGGTGAAATACCGGCCAAGATGGACCCCTGGATCCAGGGAGCCGTTGTTTAGCGGGTTCGGAGCCAAGAAGAGGAGGAAGAGGAGGAGGAGGAGGAGAAGCAGGAGGAGAAGTACGAGACGATGACGACGACGACGACGACGACGACGACGACGACGACGACGTACAGGAAGAGAGAGGGAGAGGGCAGGGAGAAAGAGGGTGAGAGGGGGAGGCATAGGAAGACAAAAGAGGAGAGGGGAGACAATGCTGAGAGAGCGAGGCAGGGGAATAGGACAGAGACGTAGGTGGGAGCAGATGAATACACGAAGAACGTGTGGCAGCAAGCAGAGGGGGAGAGGGAGAAAGGCGATACTAAAATTCGCCGGCCCAACGAGCCAGAGGCGTGCTAAGATCTCCGGTAACTACTTAACAATGTTTCTAGTTCGCGCGCGCGGGGTGGCCCCTGGGGGGCCCTGGACGAAAAGTACCCCGGCCGATCTCCGGCTGACCCCCGGGCGATCCCCAGGGGGAGGCTATTTTTCGCCACCCCTCACGAGGATCGTGGCCTCCGAGGGGGGGGCTGCTAACGACTACCCCCCCTCCCGCCCCAAGGGGCCCCCAAGAGCCCCCCAAGAAGCCCCAGGGGAGCCCAATACGCCGCCTAGGAGCCCCAAGACGCTCCCAGAAAGCCCCCAAGAAGCCCCCAAGACGGCCCCAAGAGGCCCCAAATAGCGCTCCAGGGCCAGCGGAATGAGCGAAGCGATTAAATAAACTGATACCTCATACCACCCGCTTTGGGGCACGACCGCTACCAACCCATACCAAACTGGCCCCCAGATGGAGGGGACGAATGACAGCTGGTGGTTGGCACGACTTGGTGTGGCCTGGTAGCGATGGCGAGGGTACAGATTTACCCTCTGAGGCCGGGTGGAAAAATATGTGCACTGCAAGCCGTACACGCTCAATGTGATGTTGTTTGCCACGCTCCCCCCCCCACACAGCCTGCTTGACCAAAGCCCCCAGAGGCCCCCCGAGGCCTCCAGAGGCCCCTTGAGGCCCGAAGGGGGCCAGAACCGCCCAGGGACCTCGCTCCTCGAGCTCCGACCCTCGACCCAAAAGCCCCGACCCACGACGCCGACCCCACCACGGGGAGCAGCCAGCCGAACCGGGCGTCTGGCGACGGGCACCCCCGTAAAAGACCGCGAGCCTCGGCACCGAGCTCGGAACTCGGACGACCGGCGGCGGCGGGGCAGCGGCCCGAAGCGGTAACGCGGCGTGGCGGCGGAGGGCGCGTTCGACTCTCGCGAGCTCTCGCAGGCGATGGGCACCGCCGTGGAAGCATGGAGGAGGAGGAGGAGGAGGAGGAGGAGGAGGAGGAGGAGGAGGAGGATGGACGAGGAGGAGGATGGACGAGGAGGAGGATGGACGAGGAGGTGAAGGAAGAGGATGGACTTGAGGAGGATGGGGGAGAGGAGGAGGAGGAGAAGGAGGAGGAAGAGGAGGAGGAGGAGGAGGCGGAGGAGGGAGGAGGAGGGAGGAGCATGGAGCAGGATGGACACGGAGAAGGAGGAGAAGAAGGATGGAGGAGGGAGGAGGGAGGAGGAGGATGCGAGCCTCCACCCCGATCTGGGACCTCGAGCGATCGGCGGCGGCGCGGTGGCGGCACGGCGACGGGGCGAGGGCGGGGCGGGCACGCCCTCGACGCTCGCGAGCTTGAAGCATGCTTCCCTGCCGCGCCCCCCCCACCCTGCGGCTTGCGCGCTTATGGCGGTTTCGTGTCGTGGCGGCCCAGGCGTTGGTTTCTGAGAGCACGTGGATCGTTCAATCTCGAAGGATCGGCGGTCATCGAGCTGGAATCGGCGATACACGGCCGATAGATCGGGGATAGGCCCCCGATGGTGAAGCCGCGCGTTCCTGGGCGGGATGGGCCATCGGCGATCAGGCCCCTATCGGCGATGAATGTGCGATTGGGGATCGATGCATCCCCCCCTGAGCCAGGTCCCCTCCTAACGCTGCCCCCCTGCTTTCGAGTCACAACTCAGCTCTCTGGCGGCCGTTCGGGACGATCCCCGGCACCCAGGGAACACCCGCAGCGAGGTGCGGCCGCTGGAAAACCCGAGAACCGACGAAAACGCCGGACAACCTCGAACCTCGACTCCGAGAAGGTCGCCCCCCCCCCCCCCCTGAACCATTTCCCCCCGTGACGCCGCCCCATGAAACCTCTCCCCCGCTTGCCGCCTCCCTCGCCACGCCTTCTGCTGAGGTGGCGCCGCACGCCCGGCCCTGGGCGCGCGCCCACCTCTTATCCCAGACCTCTGGCGGACGGACTGTTCTCCATCCCGCGGGCCCAGAAGAGGTCTCGACCCGTCACCCATCCTGTCGGGGGGGACCTTTCTGGCCCGGGTCGATCTCTGATGGCCACGGGGGCCAGAGATCGGGCCCCACGGGGGCCCGAAGTCGACGAAAAACGCCAGGGCTGAAAAGCACCACAGATGGCATGGCCTGCCGCAAGCCCCTCACCTGGCTACAGCCAACCCGTATCATCAGGACGCACGATAAGGATGCAAGGGCCTTGGAAGGCCATTTCGAAGCTTTTCGAGCGGGGCGCGGCCAGCGAAAAAGGCCAAGGATGGGCGGAAGGGGCAAGGATGCAAAGGGTACCCTTGGGAAGGATGCCCGCTCTTATCATGCGGGTTGACTGTACAAGGGGTCCCAGGGCCGTCGAATTCAACCAGCCGCACCTCGCCCGACCGGTGGCGCAGGCCGGCGCCGCCTCGACGCAGGGGTGCTCCTGGGAGGGCCCCAGACTCGGCCGAAGGCGGACGGTCGAAGAGCAACGCACACGCGCGCGGGGGGGAACAAGTGCCCGGCTTCGGCGGGCACGCGGAGCAGCGGGGGCGGAGGAGAGGGAGGAGGAGAGGAGGGGAGGGAGGAGCGGGGAGCGCGCGGCGAGCGCGAGGAGGGGAGGAGAGAGCAGAGGAGGAGCACAGGGAAGGGAAGGCGGAGGAGCAGGAGGGCAAAGGAGGGGGAAAAGAATGGCTGCACGGCTGCCGAAGGGGGCGACGCGGCCCCGCCCGCTCTCTCCTCGAGCCGCCCGACGGCCTCCCAAAGCCGTGGGGGAACGCCGCGGGCGCGGCTCGCTCGCTCGATCGTCGCCAGGCACTTGCAGCGATAAAGTACGTCGCCCTGCCTCCAGGGGAGGAGAAGGAGGAACAACGGAGGATACTGATACTGATACTGCAGCTCCAGGTGCGAGGATGGTTTCAGCTCGCTTCGCGCCAGCAGCTCAAGGCTCTGGCGCGTGCTCAATTTAGCACAACCTTCGGCGCCCTTGCCAGACCTCGTTCGCAGCTACGCCCCTCAGGCAAATTCTCTCGGCGATGGCAGCCAGCCATCCGAGTCTTACAGGACGGGGGGCCCTCGGCGGAAGCGACAGCTCGAGAAACGCGGGTGGTCCCAAGCTGGGGTCAACGCTCAGCCCTGCAAATTCGCCAACCCAATTGGCCGAAGGCGTGCTAAGATCTCCGGTAACAGCTTTAGAATATTTCTACTGCGCGCGCGCGCGGGCCGGCCCCTGGGGATCCCCGGACGAAAATTACCGCGACGGACTCCCGGCAGACTCCGGGTCAGAGATGGCGGAACTCCTGGGCGCGGTTCTGGCGGCTCACGGATCGCTCCAGGAGCGCCCCAAAGAGGTTCCAGAGGGCTCCGAGTCGCACACAGATCGCTCCCATATGTCCAAGATGGCCTCCAGGCGGCCCAACAGGCCTCCAAAATGTCCAAGAAGCCTCCAAGACGCCTTCGAAAAGAGCCCCAAGAGGCAAAACCGATCCATTCCCTTCGCAAAACGTATGTTTGTCCCAGATTCGCCTCCTCAGCTTTCGCAGCGTCCAAAACGCTCCAAAGGCTGCCAAGATCGCCTCAAGACAGCCGAAGAGACCCCAAAAAAGGCTCCAAGACAGCCCCAGAGAGCCTCAAGACGGTTGCAGGACCCCCCTAGACTGGCCAAAACGGCCTCAGGATTGCGCCAAGAGGGGCCCAAAGGAGGAACCAGAACGGACATTTCGAACCTTCGGGCCCCAGACGCTTCGAGGAAGCTGCCGGAAGCTTCCAAGAGGCCCAAGAGGCTCCAAAAGAACCCCCATGAGAGCCTCAAAGCGCTCCCAAGAAGCCACCTGGAGGGACAGAATAACTCCCTCCAAAACGCCTTCGAGAAGCCTCCCACGAGACTCCATCAGCCATCCGAGTGGCCTCAGACACACAATCCAGGCACGGTGGTTGCATAGGCCGAACGCCATTCGTAGGTGCTGGGCTCCCGCTCTCACGCCAAAAGCGCTCCAAGATGGCCGACGCCTCCTCCTCCTCCTCCTCCTCCTCCTCCTCCTCCTCCTCCTCCTCCTACTCCTACTCCTACTCCTACTCCTACTCCTACTCCTACTCCTTTCCGAGTGGTCTCGGACACACAACCTTGCCAGGTCCCACGGCTAGGACTCACGGCCTTACCCCATGTTCTCACACTGCAGTCCAAAGAAATTCTCCCCTGCCTCCACGAAACCCCGGAGCCGCCTCTGGCAAACGGCAGAGATGAGGCTGTATGGGCCGGCGGAATGAGCGTAGCGATTGGATAACCTGCTGTGAGGGTAGGCCGGCATGAACCTGTCAGGCAAGCCTCTTGGGTGGGCCTATGCCATTTTCGGAAATCGGTCAAAACCTCAAGTCCCTTGTTGGTGGGAGGCTTGCATTCACGAAGCAACTTGTTCCTCCTGAACTGGTGAGCCCAGGCGCCACACATACTGGGAAAAGCTCTGGGTTCAAGCAGCTCGGATCAGAAAAAGACTTACCCCCCTGATTGACTGCAATGAGACTGTGGCCTAAAAAGTTGCGTACATATTCAGCTAGATACGCAGGCATGCCTTCACAGCCAGTGAGAGGCTTATCATGTAAGGAAACGAACTCTATACACCGACGCTTGTTCCGGCCATGCACTGCAATTTGCATAGGATATCGGATTCTGGTGTATACGGGATCCTGGTGTACACATTTGGCGTTGTTTCCCCGGGAAACCGCAACAAAAAAGAACCAACCACACCAACCCGACGTCGTCCCCGACCCTCAAAAAGTCTGGGGATTGAAAGACAGCCCGCAACTGGTAATGTGTATATCTATATATATATATATATATGTTCCAATTTCCGATTATGTCGAGCATGCAGAATGCACAGACGTTTACTACGCTGCTCGCCTAGAGGTGTGCTCATCCACACGTGCCAACCTACGGGTTGCACATGGGCACGCCGCTCAGACTGTCTCAGGCAGGCCCATCTCTCTGCTTTCTCAAACAGCGGCAGGATAGCGGAAGCCAACTTCACAAAATTGGTCGAAATGCGAAGCCCATACTCCATCTGGCATGCCAGCTCGTGCGGCGCCTGCTCATTCAAAAGGAATCCTCGCTTGGCATGAACATCCGCTGACACATGAGAACATGTCATACGTTTCTGCTCATCTGAAAGCCCAGAATATTGATCAGCAGTGCGATGGGCCTTCACTCGAGCTGTGATTGCGCAATTGTTTACTCTGCCTGGCTCTAAAAATGTTGTGACCCACATGACCATAATATCGCCCTGGCCCCTCAGGATACATACACGCACAAGTCGACGCGCGCCCAGAAAATGAAAGCAAGACGCTGTACAAAAAGAGGTCGAGACGCAACACGCAGGCCGCCAGGGGGTAATAGAGAGGCCGCCAGACCCGAAAGCGCCAACGCCACATGTCCGCCCTCGCAGGGGCCATGCTGGTCGTAGGAGCTGGCCCCGAGGGGTCCACCCTCCAGGCCGCGATGACGTGCCACTCAAACGTGTCCAACCTGACGGAAGAGGCCGATGCGGAGAAGCCCCGCTTCAAGGCCACAAGGGCCACAAGGAAACCCGAGACAAGGACCACTGGTCGGAAAACTTCTCGATTCGAAATTCGAGTGCCCCCCGCCCGCAGCCCCTCCCGTACACGCCGCTGAGGACCGAGAGGGTCACCTTGCCCAGAGCCAGCAGGACCCCCAAGGCCTGCGGTCGGCGAGGTCGCGGCACCCGTCGCCGCCGTGGTCGTTCGTGGTCGTCGTGGTCGCCGTTGTCGTGGTCGCGTGGTCCTTCCGAGCTCCTCGCTTTTTGTTTTTCTTCGGGAGCCCTTTTTGTCGACACGGCTGGACGCGGCTCGACAAACTGACCAGGGTGGATACCGACGTCGTGAAACTTTGTCAGCCCTGGCGCTCTTCCTAGATTTCGAGCTCTAGGGACCGTTTACGGGTCCAGGGACAATCAACAACTATCCTGGATAAGACGCTACCCACTGAGATGGCTCGAAGACGTTCTTTGGGGACGAGGCGTAAAACGGAAACAAGAAGGCCGCAGATGACAAGGCGGTGGAACGACGCCAACCGTCGTGAGCAGGACATCGCCGGAAGCGTATCATAGGCAGGCCGTGCAAAGTGGGATTTGGAGCAGCGCGGCTCGGGCGGTTGGGTAGGCGTCGGGTAGCAGCGCAGACTTGGATAGCGACTGGCCGCACTCAAGAAATGACAGATGCAACATGCATCGAGATCTAACAACGTCACTTGCGCAGGGGAAGCCGGCCGCGAGCCACTAGCCACCTTGGTTAGTGGCGCGCGAGTGGTGAACCCTTACATCTGACGATTGTATACCTCACAGTGTCCAAACAGAACCTTCTCCTGTCGAAGCCATGTGTACATGTACACGTGCCGCCGACCCCTGCTTCCGCAGGCATGCACCTGAGCATGGGTGCAGCACAGGCCGTAGGCCCACCGCCTCGGCTAAATTCTTCGGGCCTGGCTCACATGTGATCCGATTCTCCTTGAGCAAACACACAGCTGCCATTTTTGGTAGATGGCCTGAGACAATTCCGATATGCGCCAGTGATTTCTCTTCTCCTGCCGGGGCTTCCCCCTCACTTGCTCCCATTGGCGCGGCACCGGTCGTTCCCTCGAGAATCAATGGTGCCCAATGGCCGTTAAACATCGCAGGGACGTCAACTATCTGGTAGCGAGCGCGGCCTCCAGAGGCGCCCAGTGGACCATTCCGAAGGCACTTGTTTTGTCCACATCCCAGATCTGATATGTTTGCCCGCCCCGACACCCTGAGCACGCCCAGGCGCAACAGGTATCTCTGGCACGCGGGCGCTCTGGCCCTGAGGGCTGCGGCCTGACCTGGCACCGACTGCTGCGGGAACTCGCGCAGCTTCGCCCCGCCAGCATGCACGGCACGAACCGAAACCGCACCTCATTTCCCAGGTAGGGGACTCCGTTTCACTCAGTCTCACCCCCAACCCCCCACCTCCGGTTCATAGCCCTCGCCCCCCCAACCCATGTCGACAGCGTTGGCCGCGAGACAACGCGCGAGGGACAAAGTGTGGACACCGCAGCTTGGTTTTCGGGGAAATGGTGCTAAAGCGCGCTTACGCGATTGTGGTTGTTATCGCGTCACGCTGTCTTGAAACAGTGGGCTCGGCAATTTTCACTCGGGCACCCTGGTTCCAGGTTTTCGCCGTGCGCCCGCCTGCGGACGCCTCGCTGGCGCCTCGCACTGGGAAGGTTGCACCAGATAGCTTGCGTCACATAGAATGCGCCACGTAACGTAGACCACATAGCTTACGCCACATAGTTTGCACCGCACAACTTGCACCGCCTAGCTTACATCATAGACCTTGCAGCACATAGCTTGCGCCACCTAGCTTGCACCACACAACTTGCACAACATAGCTCCCGCAACGTAGCTAGCACCACGGCGCCACGTAGCCCGTACATCTAAAGTGCAGGACGGCACTGTGCGGGATCCACGCTGGCAAAACAAAACCAACATCAGTCCGCACAATAAGCGGACTTGCGCTTCAATCTGCAGTTCGAAATGGAAGTTTACCTGCCGATCCCACCACCAATCCCAGGGCACATCACACGGAACAAGCCACAGGACGGCCCGCGGCATCAGCCCGCGGGACCAGCCCGCGGGACATCACAAGGTCACAAGGGACTAACCCGATGGACAGCGCCCCCGCGCGGCGCCGCGCCGCCAGCCTGCTCAAATCCGAACTTGCCCACCTCTCGGGGGAAGGGGAGGGGCAAATGCACACCGGGCACCGCTTTCGTTCCTCCCCGCCGCCTCCTCCCCAGGAACATCCCGTACCTCCTCCTCCTCCTCCTCCTCCTCCTCCTCCTCCTCCTCCTCCTCCTCCTCATGCTCCTCCTCCTCCTCCTCCTCCTCCTGCTGCTGCTGCTGCTCAACCTCCTCCTACTAACCTCAGGAAGGCATTCAGAAACCCCCCTGGGTTATTCTTAGCACCCGGTTTTCTCAATATTCCAGGCGGGCAGTTTTAGCCGAACGATACACTTAGCACCCGCCGCACACAGAAAACAAAATCCACCATCGGCGGCCGCCCCACTAACGCCAAGAGAGGGTGTCGTGACGAATGTCAAGGATCTAGCCCAGATCGGACGACGACGACGACGACGACGAGGAGGAGCAAATCTGCGCTTGGCAGGCCTCAGCTAGGCCCCGAGTCCCCTCAGCCAGGTCTTCCGGTGCGGCCATAACGCTCCAGGGTGCGGGGGCGTTATAATCCACCGGAAAAGGGGGGGGGGGGTTCTTAATGCCTTCCTGAGTTTACTCTTCCTGCTGCTGCTGCTGCTCCTCCTCCTGCTCCTGCTCTCCTCTCCTCCTCCTCCTCTCTCCTCCTCCTCCTCCTCCTCCTCCTCCTCCTCCTCCTCCTCCTCCTCCTCCTCCTCCTCCTCCTCCTCCTCCTCCTCCTCCTCCTCCTGCGAGCGCCGAAGCCCGGTCTGTGACGGCGCCCGCGCTTGCGCCCCCTCTGCGCTCGTTGAGCTCCGCGGCGCCCCCGTAGTCGCCCTTCAGGCCAGCCCAGCAGCGCCGGCTCACCCGGCCAGTTCCGCGGCCAGGGCGGCCCGGGCGCGCGGCCGCGCCGCGTCCGAGCCGAGCGCCGCCCGGAGCTGGCGAGCCGTGGCCGCCTGCAGGGCGACCGCCAGCTCGGCGCCCCAGCGGCGGGCGAGGGCGCTGGCCGCAGCCGCGGCCGCGGCAGCGTCGCCCCCGGCAAGCAGCTGCGCCTGGTCCCGCGCGAGGCGCCGCAGGTGCCGCAAGGCGGCGGGCCCGTGGCGGCCGCCCGTCTCCAGAGCCAGCGGCGCCATCCGCCAGAGCGCGCGCCCGGCGGGGTACCGCCGGCGGTTGTCCGCCTCGGCGTCGCGGCAGACTGCGCCGTCCCGCGCAGCAGCGGCCCGGAGCCCCTCGACGTCGCCGGGCACGCAGTAGCGCACCGTGACATCGAGGAAGGCCCGCGGGCAGTCCGCCCGCTGGATCTCCAGGTCGAGGATCGCCTCCTTGCGCTGCGCCGTCAAGCCAGTGGCGCCGCAGTGGGCGCAAGCCGCCCCAGCCGCCGGGCGCGCCGCCGCCGTGCCGCCCGCGTCGCAGCCAGCGCAGTGCCAGCGCCAGCGGTCCCAAGCTGGCACTGGCGTCTGCCGCGCGACGCGGTAGCCGCAGTCGGCGTGGATCCGCTCCCACGCGGTCTCCAGGTCGCCGCTGCGCGCTTCGAGCCCACCCCCGCGCGGGCAGCGCCAAGCGTGGCGGGCCTGGGCGCCGAGGGGGTCCCCGCAGGGCCAGCCAGCGCGCTGCCCTGAGCGGGTGCAGTTGTGGCAGGTCGCTCCGGCGGGGGCGGCGTCCTGGCCCAGCAAGCAGCGCGCCGCTGAGCAGAAGTCGGCGTCCTCCAAACGCTGCCCAGAGGCGCCGGGCGAGGCGGTCTGCCAGGCCGCCGCGCGCGGGCCGCCGCAAGAGCCGAGCAGTGCCCGGTCCTCTTCAGAGCCCAGGGAGCCCAGCAAGGAAGTGAAATTATTTTGGTCAATCCTTGCAGCGAACGTCCGCTGGAGCTTCTTGCGAGGCTCGGCGGCGAGCTCGGCCCAAGTCGGCAGCATGTCTGGGCCGTCTCGGCCCCAGCGTCGCGGCGGCGGCGGCGGCGCGGCGAGCTCCGCGAGGCTGCTCCGGCAGGAAGCGGCCAGCGGCAGCGGGCTCGTGTCCAGGTCGCCCCGGGAGGCGAGCCCCGTCCATTCCCGCAGGGGGCCCAGGTTCTGCGCCCAGGAAGCAGCCCAGGCCGCCAGGGCCAGCTCCTGCTGGCTGCGAGGCCGCGGCCGCCCAGTCGCAGCGGGAGCCTGCAGCGCAGCTGCTCCGGGGGCGTGAGTGGGTCCAGCCGCGCGAGCTCCTCGTAGGCGGCCAAGAGGGCGGCGTCGTAGGTCGCCGCCGCTGGCCGCGCCTGCCCTGGGGGCGTCGTGCGCAGCGCGTGCGTCAGCTTGCCAGTCCCGCAGTGCCGCAGGAGCAGGGCCGCCGTCTGCGCCGCGGGCAGGTGCGGGGAGGCCAGCGAGGGCAGCTCGGCCACCTTCGAGAGCAACCCGGCGGCCCGCGTCGCGGCGTCCTCAGCGCTCTCCGTCGCGTAGTCAGCTGCGCCCAAGTCTGCCCGGCGCCCCTCGTCCGGGCGCGAGAGCTCCCGCGAGTGGGGCTGCTCGGAGAGCGGGGCTCCGACCAGCGTCAAGCCTCGCGTTTGCCAGTGCGCCTCCAGGCCGGGCGGGCACGCGGCCCGTGGTGACCACGCCTGCGTTTTGCCCGGCTGCAGCTCCAGTCCCAGCGGGGCGAGCGCCTCTTGCGCCGCCAGCAGCACCTCCGCGGCTAGCTCTGGCGGCGCGAGAACGACCAGGTCGTCCAGGTAGGCGAACACGCGGACGTCGCCCGGCGGGAGCCCGCGCGCCTCTGCCCGCCGGCGCAGGTCCTCCTCCAGCGCGCGCAAGTGGGGGCGCAGGCCGCAGGCGAAAAGGAGGGGCGCGAGCGGGTCGCCCTGGTCGACGCCGCTAGTGGCGTGCAGGCGGTGGCAAGTCCCCTTGCTGTCCCAAAAGAGGCACTGCGAGCGGCACCGGCAGAAGAGCTCCGCGAAGGGAAGGAGGGAGGGATCCACCTCTTCCTCTTCTTCTTCATCAGCATCAGCATCATCATTATCATCAGCATCGTCATCGTCATCGTCATCGTCATCATCATCATCATCATCATCATCATCATCATCATCATCATCATCAGCAGCAGCAGCAGCAGCAGCAGCAGCAGCATCACCATCATCATAATCATCCTCATCATCCTCATCATCCTCATCATCCTCGTCATCGCCATCGTCGTCGTCATCATCATCATCAGCAGCATCAATCATGCGCATCATCGTTATCATCATCATCATCATCATCATCAGCATCATCATCATGATCATCAGCATCAGCATCATCATCTGAAGCATCATCAACTTCATCATCATCATCATCATCATCATCATCATCATCATCATCATCATCATCACCATCATCAGCATCATCAGTATCACTAGCAGCAGCAGCATCATCATCAGCATTATCACCATCAGCATCATCAGCATCATCATCCTGAGCATCATCATCCGCAGCAGCATGATCATCACCATCATCATCATCGTCATCATCATCAACATCATCATCATCAATATCATCAGCACCACCATCATCAGCATCATCACTGTCATCATCAGCAGCATCATCAGCATCATCATCAGCATCATCAACATCACCATCCGCAGCAGAAGCACCATCATCAGCATCATCATCGTCATCATCATCAGCAGTATCGTCATCAATGTCATCATCATCAGAATCATCCTCATCATCATCATCATCAACATCATCATCAGCATCATCACCATCATTCCCTTCCTCTTCCTCTTCCCTTTCCTCGTCCTCCCTCCGTCTCTGCCTCCCTCCCTCCCTCCCTCCCTCCTCCTCCTCCTCCTCCTCCTCATCCTGCTCCTTCTCCTCATCCTCCCCCTCGTTTTGCCTTCGCGGGCTGTCGCGCGACGACTAGCCCGTCGCAGCCTAAGCCCTCCTCCTCCCTCCTCCTCCCTCCTCCTCCTCCTCCTCCTCCTCCGCCTCCTCCTCCTCTTCCTCTTCCTGCTCCTCATCAACAACAACAACGACGACAACAACAACAACCACAACATCATCATCATCATCATCATCAGCAGCAGCAGCAGCAGCATCACCATAATCGTCATCATCCTCATTATCATCATCGTCATCATCGGCATCATCGTCATCATCATCGTCGTCGTGGTCGTCATAATCATAATCAGCATAATCAGCATCATCAGCATCATCATCGTCATCGCCATCATCATCTTCATCTTCAGCATCATCAGCATCAGCATCATCATCATAATCAACATCATCACCATCATCATCAACATCACTTATCATCATCATCATCCGCAGCAACAGCAGCAGCATCAGCATCATCATCATCATCAGCAGCAGCATCATCAGCATTAGCAGCATTAGCATCATCATCAGCATCATCACAATCATCAGCATCATCAGCATCACCATCATTATCAGCAACATCATCCTCATCATCGTCTTAGTCATCTTCATCATCCTCATCCTCGTTATAATCATCATCAGCATCAACAGCATCGGCGTCATCATCACCATCATCATCATCGCCGACATCGTCATCGTCATCATCGTCCTCCTCCTTTTTTCCTTGACGCGGGGCCAGCGTGTCGAGCCGCTGGGCGCACGCCGGCAGGCAGGCGAGCGTCCTCATCTTCGTCAGCATCGTCAGCATTATCAGTATCACCAGCATACCATCATCAGCACCTTCACTAACATCATCATCATCATTATCCTTTCCGTCATCATCCTCATCAACAGCATCATCAGCATGCGCAGCATCATCATCGTCATCGGTATCGTCATCGTCATCAGTAGCATCCTCATCGTCTGAAACGCCATCGCCATCGTCATCGACATTGTCATCGTCATCATCATCAGCAGAATTCTCATGATCACCACCACCATCGTCATCATCATCATCATCATCATCATGATCATCATCATCAGCATCAGCATCATCAGCAGTATCATCGTCAGCAGCATCATCATCAGCATCAACATCACCACCATCACCATCACCATCACCGTCATCATCATCATCATCAGCGGCATCAGCGGCATCAGCATCATCTTCATCGTCATCA